ACGCCCATCGTAAACGTGAAACCCAAACAAAGAAAGTCGCGAGTCAAGGTGTAAAGCATGTTACGTCCCCTTTTTCGTCCATTATTTTTATAGGTCTCGCTGCTGACACTTACTTCAACTTGTACCGATAAGTTGCAGTGGAACGCTTAACTATATTTATTTTAAACGGTATCTGATATTTAAAATTTGTAGAAAAGGTATGTGATAAGTTTCAAATAAAAGTAATATGGATAAGTTGTTTGATAAATATTTTTTCGCTAACCCGTTTTAAATAGTCCATAAGGACGGCAAATATGTCACATTCCTCTTATGATTGGATGATTTCTTCATGTTTGTATTCAATACAGCTGGAGCTTATGAACAAAAAACAATGCCGTATAATAGTAAAAGTATATTGTTTCACGAGTTACAGAATCCGCGTAAGAAAAAATCATCAATTTGATTAAGCTGGTAAAACTTTGCTTAAACACCTGAATGACCGAAGTTATTTAGGCTTTAGGGCGAGGATAGGATGCGTCACTATGCACCAAACATTACTTATGAAACTAAATGGAAACCGGTGAATAGTAGTGACAAATTTAAGATAATAATACAGAAATAAATGTTTAAGGACGTATTTTAACAAAATGTCACACATCTAGATAAAAACGCGCACTTCAGAAAAACAGTTACATCAATATTTTTCTAGTAGTGGAGGTCGAACCCACACCCTTTGGCGCAAAAGCCAGATTCACTAACGATTACGCATCCGGTTGCCACATATTAAATAGAAACACGGACGCAGGAGGAATGTTCCACTCCTTTCCTGTACGCATTTTGAATGATGAGGCAAAGCTCTTTATTTTATTTATACTTTATTGCAACCTTTAAATAAAAAAGGATTACAAAGGGTGAACTTGATGCCTTTTTTTTTTTTTTTTTTTTTTTTTTATGTGAAAAGTTGCCAAACGAGCAGACGGTCCACCTGATGTTAAGTGAATACCGCCGCCCATAGACATCTGCTACACCCGAGGGTTTGCAGATGCGTTGACAACCTTTTTGGAAATTGGGCTCCGGCTACCTCACTCACCAGACGAAACGCGAAAGTATTTGTCATACTTCCACTTTACGCCGGTCTTCTGTGAGGTCGTGGTACTTACCCGGACGAGCCTGCCCATTCGTGCAACAGCCGAGGGTGCTGCGTGGCTCTACCTGGCCTTTTGACATTCTCTCCAAATCAAAACGGGGCGTGGTGAGACATTGTGGTAGGTGCAATGGTGCAAATAAAGCTCTTTGTTCAAATGCAAGGAGTGTCGACAAAAGGATCAAGAAGATTATCAATGTCTATCGAGAAAAGTAAATAAACACGTTAAAGAATATATAGTGTACTTAATTAATGTAATACTACCGTAATGGCTGATCACTGTTTAATGATAGTAATTATATAATTAGCGCTTTCATTTAAATAAAATGATAAATTAGCTATAAGTTATATGATACATACTTCAGACTGATCGAAGCGTAAGTACATCCTAAATATTTTGTACATGAGGTAAATAACGTAACTTTCCTTTTCATGGCTCAATTTATAAGCTAAATGCGTAAAAGAGGCAGGATATTATGTAATTTTATAGCTGACGACACAACGTGCCTTTTTTATTTAATTTCCTCGTTTCATATAAATAAGACAGGTTACTTAGTAGTCGCATACACTTTTCATTTTTCTTGAGAATATCGACAAATTCTCTATTTTATTAATGTAATCCGAATAAAAATTCGTCGTATGGAATGATTGAATGCTTAAGGGGCAGTTGTAAAATGAAATTTAAATATTAAATGCTCATTTACTGGCTAATGCACAAAGAGCACACTAAAAAACTCAATAAGTTTAAAAAGTGCGTACTTATACTAAATAGTGCATATTTTTAAAATGTAAATTAAACCGTTTAAGATCTCATTTTGTTTTAGCGACATCTAGCGACAACTCGCTGAAGCTTCTTGCCACTTGCTTAATAAGTGCAAGAGCTTTTTTGTAAAAATGCAAGATAGACTGATAAGATAAATGAAACGCCTGCTCGCTTGGCAAATTTTCATATAAAAAATATAACCTTACAATAAGATTAAGAGAGAAGATAAATTATGTTAGTGTTATTTTACTAGCATTACTGCTGTATATCCTTGCAGGTGCTACTATACGTCCCTGTTGACTAATTTACACCTTTACTTATACATATTTTATTTACACTCTACACGCCTATTATATTTCTTCCATGTCAGATTGTTATTCTTTTATGTGAGAACTTGGCAGACGAACTGGCGGTTGACCTGTTGTTATTGGACGCAACAGTCTTCTCTGTTGCACAAATGGGCAGTTTCGTCCGGGTAAGTACCACGATTACACAGAAGTCGGGCGTGAAGTGAGAAAGTTACAATTCTGCGTTTTATCTGGTGAGTGAGGTAGCCTGGGCTCACTTTCTTTTTATGTAAAAATTTGCCAAACGAGCAGACGGTTCACCTGATGTTAAAAAATTAAAGGCCAATTAAAAGTTTTCACAATTAGAGAATTTGGTATAGAATTATGTGTTCGGAAGAGAAGCGTTAAACAATAAAAATAAAAGTAATAAACTTAGTAGTTATACACAATTAAAAATTAATTAAATTAAGTAACAAGGAAGTAAGTACTTAACATTAGGTAAATCTTTAGTCAGTCAAGCAACCCAAGTTCAAATTCCGGTGCCAGCACCAACGAAATTCTTAATTGCAATTTTTAGTCCTGACATTTTGTGTGTTCTGCGGTAAGAAAGCCACGAGTTACATTAAATTTATCATCTACCGATATTAATTATTAATGATAATTTTACTTTAACCTTTGACTTTCGTGTATTTTGAGTTCCAAGTTTAATATGAAAGCTTTTTCAGCAGGTTGTTAAGTAACACCGTCAGTACAGATAAAGTGCCTATTTCCATCTCGCAAAAAAGTAATGTCTGTTGTAGGGGAGCCCCACTTAAATATTGCTTTATTATGTTTTTTAGTATTTTTGTTATAGTGGCAACAGAAATACATCATCTATGACTGTGTGTTTTCTAACTATCACGGTTTATGAGATACAGCTTGGTGACAGACAGACAGACAGACAGGAAGCGGAATCTTAGTAATAGGTTCCCGTTTTACCATTTGGGTACGGAACCCTAAAAAAAAGGAATGAATTGAGGACCGCCTCTATAATATAACTGTCTATAATATAACTGTCTATAAGATTTTTCGTCAACGACGAAAGTAGTAAACTATCATAAAGGTTCATTTGGGTAAATCATTTAATTTCATCACACAAATTGCCACACGCCAAATATGTTCACGTCAATCGGTTGTAAACGTAACGCGCACTCTTTTTCACGTTATACGTTAATAGTTGGCAACATTAAAATTTGTAGAAAAAGTACGAAAACTTTGTCGCGGCTTTAGGAATCGAACCCATGTCTTCGGCATTCGCGACCTGACGTTTTTGCCACTGATCTAAACGGCTGATTGCCACACCGACGAAAATCTTAACGTCTTTTATCTTCATTGTTTTTTAGCATTTGAAGCAATGCTTGGTGCATCTATATCGTTATATCCTTTCCAGCATACAAACAATTTCAAATATCGTTTTACATTGATTATTCAAACGTGAGATTCATACTTTTACTCTACATATACTCTACATATTTTAATGTTTAATAGTTGGCAACTATTAATCTGATCAATTTAGGTACTTCTTAGGTACATAAACACTAATGCAAAAGCAAGGTTAAATTCACATTATATTGAATCGATAAGTTACTCGTACATATTTTGTGATTGTACTTTATCACTGGATTAAATAAATAAAAAAAATATGCATGTAGCGTAAAGCGTTCCTCGCTACGAGGTAGTAGTTATCGTAGCAAAAATATACGATCCGAAGACGTGCTATACGTTAATGTCAATATTTATGTAAAACTATGTATTATAATTGTAAGTTTTAAAATTTGTAAAATCTGTTAACAAGACATCACAGTAAGCTGTAATCAGTCCACCAATCCCTGTTAAGATATGAAATTATTCAATGATCTGTCATCATAAAATGCATAGACAAGAAAAAATTATGTGAAATACGCCAAATAAAAGTGATTGCTTGAATGATGATTTTATTTCGTATTATTACCATGGCTAAAACGACTGTATTTTAAGTTATTACATAAGTTAATAATTAAGGCTTGAGGGTTGAAAGGTTTTCATGTCAATGATAACACTAATAAGCTTTTAGTTCTTTATTTGTACGAATCTTTGTGAAATTTATTAAGTAAAACAAATGTGCATGATAATAAATATCGAAATAGAATAATATAGAACTTTGTGCAGAATAATAAACAGTTAATTACATATTAAGAATAGATACATATATAATAACATTTTATATTTCCAGAAACTTGAATTGTAACACATTTAAATATATGTTTAAGAAAAACTACATCACACATTAAAATTAAATTATAAAGTAAATATTATATATAAATAAAAGTTAACGATATTGAGATAAATTAAGATACCATGAATTAAACTAAGTTATTTACAAAATATACACAATACTAAAAAAATAATGCTAGTAGTATAAAAGAAAATAGTAGCGATAAAGGAAATTAATAAATATTAAAAAGTTTTATAGTACAGGACTAGAATAAAAAGTGATAATAATATTTTAAATAAGGGTAGCTTAAAATATATTTTGTTTAATACAAAGTACATAAATACGGATACCGTATTGGGTGTGAAAATATACTAATATAGTACATACTTCAAGAAGACCATACAAACTCAGAACGAACGTTTATGAAAACAAAAACAACTAACATTCCTATATTTCGATTATCGTCCCTTACAAAGGGGCGTCGTTAATTAAATACAGAATAAATATTTCTTAAGCCTACGTAATAAATACAAACATCTCTATTATGACTTATGAACTGGGCCTAGTTTTGGTCCTTGCGTGAATCTTTCTCTAATCGGATTTAATATGGCCGGAGTAAGCCAAATTTTGCGCTTCGTCGATCGACCTTCCCCAACCGTGCCCGCTGCTGGCGAAATGCTCCTCGTGGTGCGGGTGAGCGACAACCTCGTAGCTAGTTTCGTGGTGCTTGCTCGCCAAAAGCTTTTTCAGCGCGATAATACCGGCGACTAATAGTGAGATCTTGGCGAGAAGGACGGCCTTAGCGGCTGCGAACGCGATTATACCCAAGAAAAGAGGGATGAGAGCCAAAATCTTCAACTTTGCGATGGCCAGGAGTGGGATGAGCTGCTTGATCTTCTTTTTCTTGCCACGAGCTAACGAACAAACATTAAAGGACATCATCAATATTGTTGTCAAATCATTATAATTTGTTAGTCAATGTAATTTGGATAAAAGGACTCGGTGAACTAAATTTAATCATGTATAATTTATAGCCTAAAAATTCGTGAATCTGTTTCATTTCACACTGTGTAGTTTTCTTATATACTTGGTGTAGATTCAAAAGTTCTTGTAAAACACATACATCATTTCTATCAAGCTCCCTTATAGCTTTATTTAATAATCAGACAACAAACGCATTTACAATACATACTACAAATCACCTTATATTGTTTAAAATAAAAAAAATATTATGACAGAGTGTTAAGTGGAATTCTTGAACATGTTAGAGATTTTATATAAAATAATAAATTTTACAAAGGCAATCGTCGTAACATTTAAAAAGAGAAACGACAAAAGGCGACGATCATGGGAAGATCGTAATTGACCAGCAAGAATGGTAAGACAACTTTCTTTCAACTGCTAAGGCGACTGCCTCGCCGGCCACGGCTCGATTTCACGATGACTTGCCCGCGAAGGAACAGGTTTAAGCATGAAAGCTCGACGGAACAGAAGGATCCGCGGTGCTCGGAAGTTGTCTAATGACCGTAGTAGGAATTCCGAGCTCCACTTTCCTGACCCAGTGGGCGTAGTAGTGTTTACGAACACGTGGTCACGTATTACAACCTGCTAAGCATACGAATGCGCGCATTCTGATGCTATGGAATTGGGTCAGGAGCGCTCCTATTGTTAAAACGTGGGTGCTTATTAATAATGGATTTTATAGAAATTCGATTGGAATGTAGATAATACGCTAATTTGAATATATCGATCTATGAAATTGCCTAGTAAATTTAACTGTGTTATTGACACGTTAATAAATCGTATGCGTCAGCATAGTGATGAATGTATGAATGTAAAAAAGTTCTGTGATGTTATTGAGCAAACCGTTAATGTTTAAAGTAGGTAATAAAAACATTGCCTTAATATGAGTATGAGTTATATTAAATAGAGTACAAATTATTCTGTCGAGTTTAAATCGGTTTTAAACTAGAAATCAGATATTAAACAATACAAATTGTATCCATTAATCACACCTTAAAATTTTCATGTCTACTCTTACTCGAAATTAGAATTTAAAGCTTTCCTTATCTTCGAAGACCGGTGGTCATAAATTAGTTTTTTGAGATAATAAATTCAAATTCCATTCTTATTTAAACGTCTTTCTTAATATAGCGGACTGTGACATGGGAGTGAAAGTTGTCAGATCCTTCTTGATGCGAGAGAAAGTGACTAAAAACGATTATTTAACATAAAGGAAAATATTAAAGTAATTAACCGGAGTCCAATCATCGAAAAGTAAAAGTTGTTTCCGTCGCGAATTGAAATGTTTTCGAATTCCCACAGTTGATACAGTATACATGTATAAACGTTCTTTTCTTAAAACACTTTTATGTATTCGGAATTGCATAACTACCTTTTAGTGAACGTTATCGTAAATATATTTTAGAATGAAAGAATAAAAATCTTAAAGATTTGTTTTTGCATATTATGTATTCATCTGTTATGCTGATGTTTATTTTTTTGTTGAACGTACCATAACAGTAAACTTTAATTTGGCCTAGGAAGAATAAAATGTACTCAACAAAGGCATTTATACCAACATATAACTATGTAAATTTATTTAAATTATTATTTATTCACTGCGCAGCAAAATGTGTGAACATTACCGTTATTTTAGTCTATTTGTTTAACATTGAAGTAGTATTAACCGTGGACTACTCTACTACATTAAATCGTCATTTCTTTTTAGTGGCGGCCGTTGTCCATCGGCCTACTTTATTTCTTTGTGGTTGATTTTTTTCGTCTCTCGTAATAAATTCTTTCTTTTCCTCTTTGTTTCGTAACATATTTACTGATGTAATACAATGTTTGTATTCGAAATTGAAAGTTCTTGGCAATGTTTCAATGGAGGATTGTGGAGCATTAAGCGTGTTTAAGGGAATTGCATCCGCACTTTTAAATTTACTTATGGGATTGTCTCTTGCGCGATTTTTGCAGCTTCGTTTGTATTTCAGTGTTCTGTATAAATTAAGACTAACAATGTTTAGTGACATGTTTTATCTTTAAGAATCATTATTATTTTATCGCAATTCATATTTTATCTTTTCTCTTCTTTAATCTTATAATCATTAGTTGGACCACTTATATTATTAGATATTATATTATTTTTTTAGATATTATTTAAAGGTCTAATTGGAACTAATTCACAGCACAAACCTAGTAACAATATATTATTATCTATTGAATTTGTACCCGAAACGTTCAAGATAATTTGGAACAAGTCTTACCTTCTTCTAAGGAGCGCTTCATGCCTTCGACAGCTGATGACGGCAGTCTGAACTGGATGACATGGTTCTCCAAGAAGTCAGCAGCTGAGTCCAACAACCTGGACTCTACTTGGGCTTCCCTCGCCTTGGGCTCGTCGGCCAAGGGCTCGAATGCCCTCGCAGACCTCGGTGACCCGTTACCCAGGAGTGTCACACCGTCAGCAAGATCCATCTCCCGCGCAGTGGACAGTGACTCCACATATTTCAACGCTTTCTCCTGCAACCAAAAAACAGACTTAGTAACCACATAACACAAGCACTTCACAACACTACACGGGTACAACCTTGAGGCACAAAGACACGTCCGCTTCGGAACACTCCTTGACTACTCCAAGAACGGTGCCCATCAACCCCTGCTCCTTCACGTCCTGGTCGAGCGCAGGCATCGCCCGCGCCGCCGCGACCACAAATAGGGCGAGCACGTAACCTCTCATATTGCTTACTACCCCTACAGAAAGCTAGTAACAAAGTGTGGCCACGGTGTATAAGGCGGTCGGTTTTAAGCGTCTCACCCCACTACCACGTTCCGCCGGCCAGACGAGAAAAGTGAACCTAAACGCGTCCGATTAAACTGGTGCCGGTGAATTAATTTCACGTTAATACGGGCAGTTAGGTGCGTGTACGCAGTTATTCGGGGTTCATTCACACGTACAGTGCATGTGTTTGTGAGCGCGCGTGTGAGCGTACACCGTCGCAGATCAATGGTCGAGCCACTTGAGCGAGATGATGGTCGCGGCGCAGATGCTCTTTGCACGCGGAACCGCAAAAACTGTCTTGATACTTACAGATTCTTAACTGTACCTGAATGGTGTATCAGCAATTTTGCAGTGTAGTAATTAAAAAAGGCGAAAACCTCTTCACATATGTGGATTCTTATCTCTTGTATGATGAAAAATAATATATTATTGTATCTAATGACAATAGCGTTATTTGATGTGTGCCAAAAAATGTTATAGGTATTGAAATTGCACATCTTTATCGAATAGTTATCCCAAAAATTAACTATTTCTCACAGAACATAAAGAAGAATTGTGATCAAAATTGTCGCTTCAAGTCTAATAAACGATATATTTAGGCTACTTTAGGCTAAGGTTTTTTAAACATATGTATTTTTTTCAAATAAGTGTTTAATCTAAATAATTATTAACAACGTCTTACATAACGTTCATTTGATATTTTACGTAAATTGTAAATAAAACTGTCGCGTTTACCTTTATTCAAACCTAACAGTAATATCTTAAACATAATCCCTTCTTTTATATTTATTTTAATTATAACCATTCTTGTAGCAAAAGTGAAGTAAATGTCGCTTAATAAGTAACAACGCTTTACCGTTAATTAATTCATGTAGACTTAACATTGTTCCCATAGATCTTAATAATCACGATGCAAGGGCCTGTTGTTATAAATAAGTATTACTTCTCACCGAGCAGAAACAATTGCCAGTGAACATTGGAACAGTCACATCACATGTTACACTTTCCATTAAAGTGCTCGCTCAAAGTTCTCATTAATTTTATTGTTACAGTTACCTTACATTGTTATCAGGTACGCTAATTACTGTATGTATACGAGAATAAAAATACGTGGATTATATTTTTAATATCGCCAGAAATCATATAATTTTAAGAAGCTTCGTCGGAATACTGCGCTAGAAAGGGATAAGCAGGTGACCTTGTGATACGCATATAAATCAGAAGACCCCGATTCGAATGGGATTTAATTTTGAATATATGCCTACTTTCGATTAATAGATAGTGTTTTTCCTACTGTATGTTACACTGGCCTAAATGGGACCTGTTTTATATATGAACACTGATAAATTAACTTGCCCCGCACTCTTCCCTTAGGGTAAAATCAAGTCATGTACTTGGTCCAATGCTAATGATAAAAATCTAATATCGGTTAAGAGCCAAGTGATGTTCTGATAATAAACGCAATGTTACTTCCATTGTTTGCTATTAATTTAAGAAACTTCTTACATCTAATAACATATCTATTCATTGCCAAAAGTAAGTTTTTCTCCAATCCAAAATAATACAATAATGCTATTCTATAAGAGCATAATAAACAATACTACTGCAGTTTTAATTATATAAGAGTTCGCAATTGTTTTCAAATTATTTCAAAAGTTAAACTAAATATATTGGACTTCGCTGAAAATAGAAACAATCGAAAAAGAAGTAAAAATAAACGAATGAAATTAAACCTATTGTTTTAAGAAGAATAACAGATAATTTTTTTTATTAGATGGAATAGGTTTTTATAAAATACTTCAACATTTATTTGAACACTTTCTATGTTTAAAATCTATTTAATCCTTATTTATCAGTGTCAAGAAGTAGAAAATCAACTATAAACTTAACATGAAATGTACGTCATAAACTGACGTCCATTTCATCGCAGTGTCTGCAACGAGAGGTTGTTTAATAGAAACTTTTGAGTACGTTAGTTACTGTATAGAGTATAAAGCACATAGCTGTATTCGTTTCTGACACATAACTGTATTAATAAATAAATATGAGCTAACTGTATTCAATAATGAAGATGAACTTCGCTCACAAAAGGCTTTGGTAGAAATAATATATGATGGCTTAAGGATAAACACAACACAAATAAAAATAAGACAACAATAATAAACAAATATAGAATATTTATTGGATGAAATATAATAGCTGCTGTAGAATACACCTGTAGTCTATATACATCATAATATATAAGTATACGAAGAGTGTGGCCTATAAAAGTTTTCTAAATCCAAATATATGAACCGATGTCTTAGAACAATCAAAAAAGATGTGCAAGTATCCACAAAGAAAATGCAATAACATCTGCCTACCTTCACATTGGACTGATAAGAATATTTGTGTATCTACTTACTGCGTACACCATATAGTTTTGTAAATTTCTAGAATCCAGTTCATGAACATTATAGAAAATAAGAGTTATCACCTACTTTCCCTTGAACTTAGCATCGGGCTTGTGTAGTTAGATATTTGTCTAGACATGTTAGGACTAAGGTACAACGTTTCATAGTAAAAGTAAGTTAGTTTAACATAAACAAAAGCCATTTATGAAAGAAACAATAAACAACTGAAACTTCAAATAACTCACCTATAATAAAACGAAAAAAAATAATCTTAACCATATCGAAAAATGAAAATCGCTGTACACTCAAATTTGTTTTCGAACTAATCACGTAACAGATATTATAGAAAAGAATTAATCAATCGCATCAATGAATTGTCTCACACGTCAAGGATGTAAAAAGAATTTTATCATCCAACATTTAATTTTTTTGTAAATGAAAATGAGAAAAAAAACTATTTTTGCTTGAAAATTTCAAAAATCTGTTATTTTTAGTCGATTACCAGCGATAAAATACGTTCCACTTTAATACGTTTGCGTTGTCTGGTAATAGTGGTACACTTATTAGACATGTGGGACTACAGTAACCAAGCGTTTCTGTTTTAGTTTGAGATATTAACTAGGTAATTATAAAAAAAGGTAAATAATAAAGTAGTTAAGTAGGAATTTATATATTAGGTGTTGCGAAGAGGCGTTACGTTTCTTTACGTTTTCAAATTATTTCGTGCTGCAGTTTTACAACCTTACACCACAAAGCTCAGCATTGAGAATATATCGTATGATTTAACAAAAAATTGGCATCGGTTTTACTAACGCTCTCGTGTTGTGAATGTCCATGATAACGAATCGAATTTCCATACAAAAATTCACTTTTGAATAAACTTCTTGTACCTTGTATTAACTGATAGTCTTTGCTTTCAGTCCCGAGACTATTACAGCTTCATCTGACGCAGAACCGGTGGGCTAGCCAGAAACCACGGGTTTGGGCGCTCCGCTGTGGGTAGGGCTGCGCATGTGCTCATGCGTGCGTTTAACTATGGTATGTAATCTAAGGGCCATCGAGGTTGCGGTTTGGACCGGGACCCCGTGTTATCCGACGGGACCACCGACGGTGGGTCCGACGTATCCCCTTCGTAACTAGTCCCCTTCCTCGACCGGGTCGATGAGGACGTTTCGCGGGCGACGTTTGTTGACGTTCGCGTTTGTGTCGGGTTGGTAATTTGCTGCGCTTACCACCAGAGGGTTGGGATGATGTTCGGCTCTATCGAAGAACCGTTTGGTCAGGTCTTTAAAATATTCGCGAATCGTCGGGAGTCTGCAATCGCTGTGCAGATTGACGTTGCGTTGATACCACTGCGCACCGGTTGCGCGGCGGATGAACTTATTTTTTTCTATTTGCAGCTTGTACAAGCGAGTAGGGTGCGCGTGGGCGAAGGTCATGCATGCATAGGAATATACATACCCGGGTATTTTATAATAACAATTTGTGCCTTAAGGGCATTTTACTTTTAGCGTTAGTTAAATTGTGCAGCCGGCCGGAGACGAACGCGGCTCGATTACGTAACGTTACGTAACGTTATTAATGTGCGTAGTAAGTGACATACTCGAGTCGAAAGTGACTCCTAAGTATTCGACCTTTTTCTCCCAGGGGAGCGGTTGGCCATAAAGGGATATTTGCCCCAACTTTCTTTGGCGAGGGCCATTATAAAGATGTGGAGGGTAAGTACTTCGTGTGAAGTGAATCGCCACACTCTTTTCGGGATTTACTTCTATTCACCATCTGAGGAACCAATCGCCGAGGTGCTCAGCAGCGCTCTGAAGACGAGTAGTGAGTTGATTGAAATTTTTATCTGTGTAAAAGAGCGCCGTGTCATCCGCGAAAAGCGCGAGATTGACGTGGGGGTCTTTGGGTATGTCGCTCGTGTAGAGCGTAAAGAGTAAGGGTGAGAGGCAGGAGCCTTATGGTACACCTGCCGTGAGGCGGCGGTTTGTGGAGAGGGTGGCCTCAACCCGATATCGTAAAAATCGGTTCGACAGGAAGGCCCGGGTGGTGTGTAGGAGCCTATCTGGCACTTTGAGTGTGGAATAAACTTCAAAAATCATAGTGCTAAGAATGTCAAATAACAGTTTACTAAATGAAATTATATTCATGGATTTGTCACGTTTATTTTCAACTTTAGTTCCCGACGTTTTGAACCCTTTTCACCTGAATCTGGCAGCACAAACATACCTAAAGGTTGACTCTCACCGTCATCCATCCGACGCGGCACACACCGCCTATAGCTGGCGTGGGTAAACCTTTGTTTCAGAGAGCAAAAGGGATCTGTGGCAGGAAACACCTATTAGCTTAGAAGTCTACTTTGAAGCTAGTTCTGCGTTACAACAAATTTTGAGCACCGCGCCTGAGTGACAGTAACCGAGTGAAACCAGCCACAATGGAGCGTGTGCCTAAGATCACAGATCCTTGTAAAAGAACAACAAGGATGATTTGCGACGCTATTGAAAATACAAAACATCTTAATTTCAACAAAACTCTGAAACTTTACCAAAATCGTAAAGTGGGTCA